GAGCTTCAATCACGCGAGGCGCCGCCATCACGTGGAAAGATGTCTTTGACGCGAATGAAGTCCGGCTGGCCCTTAAACATAAACGTTAAACGTCTAACTTCTCTGAATGCCCGGTCCATGCAATCCTCAAAAGAAACGTAAATCCAAACGCAAAGGTACTAATAAGGGATATCAAGCGTCTACAGAAGGTTCTCTACCATCGTTGTCGGACATCGACTTGGACAAGGACACTCCAGGGGCGCCAGCGCGCTCGCCATGCCAAATATCCACGTTGCCCACCCATATAGCAGATGCCCATGAAACACGAACTATGGCGGAGAATGAAATGCCTGCAGTTGGCGATAGTCACGAGTACAAAGCATCTTGTCCTAAAGTTGAAGAGACAGCACTGCCTCAGGCCCCTTTAATTCATGACCCGGGGAATGGGCCGCGGGTGCAAGATATACGCACCTTTCTTTCATCGAAGTTCTTTGCTCAACCACCCGCGCTTAACGTACGTCTACCTAATATCTTTTCTATGACCAAGGTTCCAGGGTTTTGGTAGGATCCTTTGTGTGCCGAGTTCGCACAGAATGAGGTGCTTGAGATGCTTATGACAGTACTGTCTGAAGAAGCTGCACTTGTACGTTCTTAACAGGTCGTTTCTGGACTTAACTTTGAGGACTTCGTAGATTATATGGTACAATAAAAGCCGTTCCACGAGTCGGATATGCCCAGTTTGCTACCGTCTTTATTGCCTCGGTGATACACTCGCAGATCACATACCTGGCCAACGTCCTTTTGTGGGTATGGACTCGTCATCAAAGACACAAAGAGAGCAAACCATCAGCGGGTTATGTATGACTTTCAGTACCTATGGTTCCGCCTTTCTCATCGTATGCAAACAGGCTCTCCTATGTGTTTCATTGCCGCAGCATACAGCTATCCCAGCGCAATCAAATCTGCTTGGGGTCGTACAGCGGATGAAATCGACCAGCACACATGGGATATCTTGACTATGCCCCCAGAGGACTCTGTGGGTGACCCTAATTTGACTATGCTAATGCGTATGACTAGGTTGGGTGATCTCGGACTGGGCCAACTGTGTCTGGGCCTTGATCCAGAGGACGTGCCGATATGAGTAGGAGCACCAATGACGGAAAATGCTTTTTGATTCTTTGAGGCAATAGTCTCGGGACTTTTTATCATCTTGATTTCCTGGAAATAAGAAACAGACTTAGACTTTCGCGTTTTGTTCACCTTAGGTGGAGACAAATGGGACTGCTAAAAACCGGCTGGTATACGCCATAAGAAGTTCCATGCTTTGTGGTGGGTTGGCGTAATGGCAACGCGTCAGTTTCCGGTTCCACACAGCTGAAGATTCCGGGTTCGAGTCCCGGGCCTGTCGTTTTTG